CCTGGGGGTCACGGGAAGAGGCAGCGGTGTGTAAACCCTGGTGGGTGCCCGCATTGCTGCGTCTTGTGTGTCACCTGGGCTGTATGTGTGTGTACTGGGCTGCATAGACGTGTGTGCACATGTGTGTACGTTATGTGTGTGAGCCAGGCTGTAGGTGTGTATGTGCTTCATGTGTGTGTATGCGTGTGTCTATGTGTGTGTAAACTAGGCTGTTTGTGTTTGTGAGTGTGCATATGGGTCTACATCTGGGTCTCTGTGTGAGCTGGGCCATGAGCGTGAGCTGAGCTGGATGTGTGTGTGTGCATGTGTGTATATAAGTGTGTACACGTCTTTATGTCTCTGTGTGTATGAGCTGGGCTGTAGGTGTGTGGTATGTGCTGTGCTTGCTACGTGCGTATGCATGAGTGTGTGTGTGAACTGGGCTGTGACTGCGAGTGTGCATATAGGTGTGTGAGAGCTGGGCCATGTGTGTGAGCCGGGTTATGTGTGTGAGCTGGGCTGTATGTATGTATGTGTGTGTGTATATGAGCTGGGCTGTAGGTATGTGTGTGTGTGAGCTGGGCTGTAGGTATGTGTGTACATACTGTGCTTAATGTGTGTGCATGTATGTATATGTGTGTACAAGTCAGTATGTCTCTGCACGTGTATGAGCTGGGCTGGGTGTGTCTGTGCAAGTGTGTGTGTGAGCTGGGCTGAGTGTGTGTACTCTCCTGATACATGTGCTCTCCAGGTGTGTGTTCAGTGTCCAGGTGTGTCCACACTCCTGTCTCCATGTGCTTGTCATGGTGGAGGATGTGGCTTGGTCCCAGTGACAGCACTTCCCTTCAATCCTGAGCTGGCTGGCCTGAGAGGGTCACTGGCCGCAGCCCCCACCCCCGCAGCTGCAGGGTGCTGTGGGGGGGCAGGGCCTCTTCTCCACAGGTTCCCACCCCTGGGCGTGTCCGCTTCCCTCTGCCTGGGACCCACCTCAGACTCTGGCTGTGTTCCTCCTCCACCCCTTCCATTTAGGGTCCTCTGCGTCCCCTCAGCAGCCCTCAGGGCCCAGGGCTTTTTCCATCTGTCCCTCTGCTGTCCTGTGTCAAGTGGATCAGGCGGTTTGCTGAAGGAGGGTGGGCTCAGAAGCTGGAGGGGCTGGTCTGACAGGCTGGGGCATAAGGAAGCTAGCAGACCTGGTGGCTGGCTTCTGGTTAGCAGGCGCCACACCCTGGCCAGCCTCCTCCCGGGGTGCTAATCTCTAAGAACTTCACCCACAGCCTGAGTGACCCCCCCCAGCCGCCCAGGAGGTGCAGGAGCAGGGGAGGTGCAATGCTGGTTCCCATTTTACAGATGGGGGCACTGATGCTTGGAGGTGTGGGGTGACTCATCCGGATTGCACAGAAAGTGGTGGGGTCTTGGGGTCCCCCAGTGGCGCTCTGGATCGTGGGGAGAGAGGAGGGGGAGGGGCTAGGATGAGACCTTCCCTTCTGTTGACAACATTGCCTAGCAGCTGGGGGAGAGGCCCTCTGCCCTCCCCAGGACATGATTGGGGGTGGGGCTGGTGGCCTTCAGAGTGGACACCGCCCCTTCCCTGTGGCCGCACCGGGGCATGCTTGCCTCATGCTGCCCACACAGGAATGCACGTGGGCCCCGCTCAGACAACCGTGAGGCCGCACCTGGCCCACAGCTGGGTCTGCCCAAGCCCGCCTCTCAGTGCTGGGGCTGAACCCCTCTGACCAGGACATGGGGGTGAACCTCACCTGGCTGCCAGTGGGACCTTGTCACCTTTTGCATCCTTCAAGAACCGGTCCAAGTTCATGGTCTGGAGGGGAAAGGAAGGCAGAGGTTTAGCCTCAAATTCTCCACTTTGGGAAAAGACGGAGTTGGGCATAGACGCACCCAGACGGGGGCCCGGGGAAAATCCTTCTCCTTCCTCCTGCCCAGATGGAGAGACAGACCCAGAGACAGATGGATGCACATGTGTACACACACAAACACACACAAGCACGCACACCATCTCTCACTCTCAGACACACTGAAGCGTGCAGCTGGCTGCCCCTGCGGCCCACTCCCGTTAGCACCCCGTGGCCCTTGCAGCCTGGACCGAGGTGTCAGGAGCCCTGGGAGAAGGGAGGAGGGCCCTGCTACTGCCGGGGGTGGGAGGCGGGGCCGCGGGCCTCTCGGTCCAGCCGCCCACCCCTGCCGGCCAGCCCTGGGTGCTGCCGCCGTCCATGTGTGGCCCCGGGCTGCTGGCCACTGACCTGCTCCCGCCACCCTCCCACACCAGGTGGTACAGAGGATCAAGGCCGTGGAGGGGCAGACGCAGCTGCTGGTGGTTGACAAGGAGACGGACGAGGAGCTGCAGCGAAGGCGGCTCACGTGCACGGAGGAGATGGCCCAGCGGGGGCTGCCGCCCACCCACGACCCCTGGGAGCCAAAGCCGGACTGGGTGGCTCCAGGCAGCCTGGGCCCCGAGGCTGGCGGGAAGGTACGGCGGGCTCTGCCGACAGGGTCCCACCTCGGTTCTTGTCTGTGCCTCTGACACCTACCTTGACGTCCCTCTCGGCTGCTCGGGCCCACTCTTTCTGCCCTCTGCCTGTGTTCTGATCTGGGTGGGGTCAGGCAGCCTGGCCTCTGTGTCACTGTCCCCATGTCTGTCTCCCTGTGTCGGGTCCCTCTCATGCTTTGATGGACACACACACTCATGCACACACAGCCTGGTGGCCAGGAACGCTGGGAGCTGTTGCTGGGACACTCTGGGACTGACTGTGTCCAGCTTATGCCGATGACGCATGTCTGTCTGTCTGAGGCTCTTGCCTCGTGTCTGTCAGTGCTGTGGCTGGGAGTTGCTGAGGAGACATTGCAGGCTGGAGGCTCAGTGAGGGAACCTGGGAAGGCTGGGGCTGGGTCAGGAGGGTCTAGGGTCAAGGATCAGGGCTTGGGGCCAAGTCAGCCATGTGTGTGCTGGCTCCCTCGGTCCCACCCAGCCTTACTGCCCACCTTGTTGCCTGGGCCTGGCCAGAGGCTTTGAGGGGGTACACCCTGCTTCTAGATAAAAGGTCAGGGCTGGACTGCTTGGGAGGGCCTGGGGTCCCCTGCTCCAAGCCAGGAGGTCTGGAAAAGAATGAGGGTGGTGGCCTAGCAGGTGGGCACGCACCCCCCTGGGCACGCACGCACCTCCAGGCCAGGAGGAAGTGCTGACGTCGTCCTCCTGCCTTCTTGGAAGCCCAGGTGTCATCATGTCCCAAGCTGTTTTTAAACAAGTCCTTTTAGGGGATTCAGACACAGGGGTTCCCCATTTAGCACTTTGCAAACCTCTGTGGCAGAGGTGTCTGGTTCAGAGTTCTGGGGCACCTGGAGTCAGACAGCTGAGTCCACAGGGGTCCTGATGCCCTATCTTTCTTGACACGTTCCCCTCACATGACGACAGGGGTGGCTGGAGGTCCTTACTGCAGTGACTTTGAGCTGACTCTGGGGGGCCTGGCTCGGAAGTCAGGGCCCCTGAGTGAGTCTGGCCTGGGCATGGACCGCTCGGCGAAGGAATTAGGCCTGGAGGGGAGGAGGGGTGGTCAGGAGGCTGGATTTTGCTTGAGATGCTGAGTGGGGGTGTTAGGGTCAGATTTGGGATTTCAAGGGGGCCCCTGGGGTGGTGGGGCTGGGATTGAGGGGGGATGCAGGCTGGTCCAGGGCTCCCCTCCTGCTGGCCGAGGGTTGGGTCCTCCTTTTCCCCGCGCCTAAGGAAGCCCCCCCACCAAGACGTTTGTCCATTGATTTAGACAAATGTCCCAGTCCACCTTCCTGTGGAAACATCCGCCCTGGGCCTTATCTGCAGGGTGGAGTGGCCCAGCACCTCGTCCTTGGGTGCGGCTGACCCCCACCCCGCTATTTTAGGCTCTGGGGGCTGCAGGAAGTGCAGGTGGGGGCTTCCTGGGGGTGCGTTTTTAGAGAAACAAAGGGAGGTGTGACTGACAGGTGGAGGGTATCTGCGGACGGGGCTGCGAGGAGCAGGGATGCAGGCCCCTCCCTCCTGCCCCAGCAACAAGGCCTCCCCTTCTGGCCTGCCTGGATCTGAGCTCACAGCCTTGGGAAGGGGGCTGGGCCTGGCCTCACTCCTGCATCCCAGCTCAGACAGACACCTCTCAGCTAGTGTGGTCCCCGCTGCTTCCAGGGAGCCTAGAGGGCCGTGTCGTCCCAGCTGTGCACTGACGGGGCGTCGGCCGCTGTGTGGCTGGAAAGCCGGCAAAGTGATGGAGGGCCCCCCTCTAGCCCTCTCTAGGCCTCGTTTTCCACCCATCTGGGCTGGAGGAGGTGGAACCTGAGATCACTGTGGGGCCACCCCTCCTCCCGGGGGCCTGAGGGCCCTGTCACTGGTGACTCACCCAGGCCGGGCTGGGGGTGGTTGCAGCTGTACTGATCCTGATGGTGACGTCAGGGGACAACCCCCAAACGGAGATGGGGGCAACTAGTGGTGGCAGGGCCCCTGCCCCCAGCCTGTCTCCCCATCTGGGTTCTGGAGGCCCAGGGGGCTCTGAGTCAGTGTGGGGTGGCAGTCGGAGGGACAGTCATGGTGCAGGGTCCTAGAGTCCCCTCTCCCCGCCCTGAGGCCCTGAACCGAGCTGGCGCTGGGCTTCCCCCGCCCCACCTCCCTGCCTTGTACATCCTGTGCTCTCCAGAGTGTAGGACGTGGGGCTCCCGGGGGGCCACAGCCCACTGTCTTCTGTCCCTGGCCTCCCTGTCCCCTCAGCCCTGGGTCCTGGGAGCAGGGCTGGGCCTCCAATGGCTTCCTTCCTTCCTTTCTTGGGACGGAAACTCAGCTGGGCGGGGGGCGCCGGGCTGGAGCCTAAGCAGGGGTGGGGGGCTCTGTCACCACCCTGCTCCCCAAAGTGACTCAGCCGCCCGGTCCCCACCCGTCCCCGGGGATGCTGGGACACGGGGGAGGTAGATAAGGAGGATAGCAGCCTGGGTCAGCCGGAGAGCTCAGGACACCCCAGCAGGACACCCGCGGCCACTCCTGTCTCACCGCCATGGCCCGCTCCGGGGCTGCTACGTCGTCCACCCCGGCCCCGGGAGCCCCTCCTCGGAACCTGCCCCGGGGGCTCGTGCAGGTCAGGAGAGGTCGCAGCGGGGTGGGCCAGACCCCGCAGCCTGCTCCGCTGTCCCTCAGGGTAGGGAGAGGGGACTATGGGGACCCTGGGGCGCGCCAGCCGAACCCCATGTAACAAAGGGCCCTTTCTCTGCCAGGCTAGTGTGTCACCCTCTGGAGGGGCCCGGCCTGGCTCTCCAGGACTCCATGCCAGCCTCTGTCCGGTCGCAGGCCTAGCTGGGAGGCCGGACTTGCCCAGCTCTGGGGCTGGCGGCTGCCGTGGGAGCCGAGGGCCTGGCTGGGAGCGGCAGGAAGTGAGCCGAGCCAGGGCTGAAAGAGGAATGCCAACAATGCACCCATTGCCCTGTGGCCCCCGCCCGCCTGGCCGGCTGGCTGGGCCTCCCCTGCCCACCCTGCTGGGCTGCCTTGCAGCCAGCCCCCCACCCCACATATGCTGTAGCCCTCCACTTGAGGATCTAGGGCCAAGTTCAGCACCCCAGATCCTGGTCATGATGGAAGGGGTTTAAGCTAGACTCCAGGAGGGACTTCTTGGCTTGCGTGCGGAGATACAGCTGTTCTGGGATGAGGCGAGCGGCTGGGCCAGGATGGCCCCGGGATGTGACCCCAGCCTGGCCAGGTGGCCCCAGGACCCTGGAGCCACTGGGGAACTTGCAGCAGTGCTGGGAGGCGGTGGCCTTAGGCCCTTGATGACCCCCAAATCCTGTTTCCTGTTTGGGGGCCTTAGCCCTGGAGTTCAGGGCCAAGGGTGTGCGAAGTGGCTGCGAGGTGCATGAGTGTCTGGTGTTTTTGTGAACTATGCTGTTTTTTTCCTTTTTCCATTTTTTTTGTGATTTGGGTGAAAGTTGACAGAGCAAATTCATTTTCCATACAGTAATTCATACCCAATTTGTTTCATGACATTGACTGCCATCCCCACAATGGGGCAGCTCTCTTCCCACTTCCTCCGTGTGGTCACCTCTTCCCTGTGTCCTTCCCTCCCATGCACTCCTGCCCCCCCAGCTGTCTCCTGTGCAAACACTGCCCTTCTGTTCTCCCACGATTGGTTGCTCTAAGGAGCATGTCTGCCTGATGTAAATGTTCACCCCATAGGCCTGTCTGTTGTTTGGCTGGGAGCCATGGGAGTGAGTTCAGTTCCAGACTTCAGGGGTAACTAGGGGCCAGTCTCGGGGGTCTCACCAGCCTCCGTCAGACCAGCAAACCTGTTTTTTTTCTTGATGGGAGCTATGTTCTGACGTCCACGTCACTGTGTCTATGAGTGTGCGTCTATATCCCAGGTCTGTGTCCCTGTGCCGGGCACAGGCGTGCCACATTTCTATGGTCTGTGCCTGGCTCCTTCCCTGAGGGCAGCCCTCCCCAGCCTTCCTCATGAGTGCTGCCCCCATGGTGTGTACCTGAGAGGCATCTCCTCAGGGTGGTGTCACACCCATCTCAAAGCTATGTCCACACCTCACGGTGTGTCTGCAAGAGGGCCCTAGTCATTGCAGCCAGGCCCCCAGTTCCCACGTATTTCTCAGCTGAGCCCTCTGGGGGGATGACAGCAGCGGCCCGGGGTTCCTGCTGTCCTGGGGTTGGGTGGGTGGATGGGCAAGGGTGCAGGATCAGCAGGAAACTTCGAGAGGAGGGTCTGGCCAGGAATTAGGGCCGGGGAAGGGGTCCTGGAAGGGGAGTCCAAGCTGGCAGAAAGCATCTTCCAGACGCCTTGGAAGGAGGGTCCCTTTGTGCCACGCTGGGCACTGCCTGTCGGTGGGAGGCCTGAGGGCTCTAGGCAGATGGGGGTTTTGTAGAGACCCTGCAGGCCTGGTGGTGGGCAGGTGAGGGGTGGCCTGGTGTCCCAGTCCTAGAATGCCTCCCTGAGGTCTGAGGGGCCCTAGCCTGGCCCATGGCTCCCCTGTAACACTCACGGAGGCTCCTGGAGGGATGAGAGTGGAGGGAGGGGAGGATCCCGTGAGCACGCCCTGCACAGCACACACTCACCTCCGCGTCCTGAGCACTCCTGGGAAACCCGAGCCGCCTGCCAGCCGCCGGCCATGTTTAATTGAGCACATCGGCTGCTGGCTGCTCGGCACCTCGGTCGCTGCCGTGGCCCGGCTGGTGGGCGTCCTCGACCCAGCCCTGCCCGCACAGCCCCCTGGCCCAGAGCCCCACAGCAGCATGCCAGAGGTAACACCACGCAGGCCCGTCAGGGGCCTCCCAGGCTGAGGAGGCAGGCCCATGGCCCCCACTCTGCTCCAGGTCCCCCACCCCACGCGTCACCCTAGCAGGGTGGGGGCGGGGGCGGCTCCAGTTGCCGCTGGAATGTGAGCAAACCCAGTGCCTCCACCTCTGCCAGCCCCATGGCAGCCCTGCCAAGAGAAAGCAGAACTAGCAGGCCCGGGATGTGGCCAGCTGTGCGCCCAGGGAGGGGCATGTGGGGACATAGGCTGGCTCGGGAACAGCTATCAGGGCCTGGGACAAGTGGCCCCTCACCTGGCACTCTCCCCATGGCCCGGCTTGTGCTCAACCCTGTGCCTGAACTCGTGTGAGGGGACAGTCCTAGCATAGGGTGTTTTTGGTCTTGGGAACCGGGCAGTGTCTTGTCACTGAGATAAGACATGGGCCTGGGGTTTGGGTTGGGGCAGTCACTTTCTGGTGGGGAGTGCAGGGGGGCTGGAGCTGGATACCAGGGGGCCTGTGCTGACCTGACGTCGTGTGGCGGTGTCCGCAGGATATGAACGGGACCCCGAGGGAGCTGCGTCCACGGCTCTGCCACCTGCGGAAGGGCCCCCAGGGCTATGGGTTCAACCTGCACAGTGATAAGTCCCGGCCTGGCCAGTACATCCGCTCTGTGGACCCAGGCTCACCGGCCGCCCACTCGGGCCTCCGTGCCCAAGACCGGCTTATTGAGGTACCTGCTACCCATGGCTTCAGGGGGCTTGTGCCTGTGTGTGTGTGCCCACGAATGCCCCGTGTGCGTCTTCATCGGCACCTCCCCGTGCGTGTCGTGTCAAGGCCCCGCTCGTGTGTGTTGGTGTCAGGGTCCCTCCTGTCTATGCCTGCATGTCCCTGCATCCACGCTCCTGTGTGTGTGTCTGTGTCCATGTCCCTATGCCTATATATTTTCACATATGTTAGTGTCAAGGCCCCCTTCCCTTGGTGTGTGTGTCAAGGCCCCCCCGCGTGTTGTGCCTGTGTGCCTGTGCACATCCAGTCCTCGTGAGGAGGTGGCGCAGTGAGGGAACGGGTGCTGGCCCTCCTCTGCCACCGCAGCCGCTGGCAGCTCTGGCTGGCATCTGGTGCTGCAGCTGGCTGGGCAGCGTTGGGGGTTGCGGGCCGCCCTTGGTGGTGCTGATGCTGCGCTTGCGGCAGGTGAATGGGCAGAACGTGGAGGGGCTGCGTCACGCCGAGGTCGTGGCCAGCATCAAGGCGCGTGAGGACGAGGCCCGGCTGCTCGTGGTGGACCCCGAGACTGACGAGCACTTCAAGCGGCTGCGGGTCACACCCACCGAGGAGCACGTGCAAGGTGGGGGCCGCGGGGGCTGGGGCACAGTGGCACATGGTATTGGGGCATGGCAGGGCTGGGGCGTGGTGCAGGAGGGCTGGGGCGTGGCGGAGGAGGGGCGACGGGGAATGGTGTGTGGTGCAGTGTGGGTATCGCAGTGTGACAGGGATTGGGGTGTAGCAGGGGCATTGGGGTAAGATGGTGGGCGCCAGGGCATAGTAAGAGGCCAGGTGGCACTGATACTCTGTCCCCTGCAGGTCCATTGCCATCCCCCATCTCCAATGGGACCAGCCTTGCACAGGTGAGAGAGTGGGTCTCGGGCACCTCTGGGGTTCCCAGACCTAACAAGGCTCCCTGGAGAGCCCTGCCCGGGGGGAGGGCCCACATGGCTGAATAGGCATGGGTGGGAGATGCCAAACCTGGCCGTCACCCCTGGCTCTGACCCCGGCGGGACTGCAGCCTGGGCTAGTGCCCACACGCTCTCCTCACACTGGGTCCCAGAGGCACAGCTGTGCTGCCCCAGCTGCCTGGCGATCTGGGGAGGCTGGCCCTGCCTTGCTGCAGCTGTGGGTGACCTGTGCTGTGTGGGGGTTGCAGGCAGGGGCCACCAGCTTGTTCACTGCTGGTGCTGGGGTGCAGCCCAGGCAGGGGCACCAAGGGGGGGTGACTCCAGGCCTCCTCCCTGGGAGGAGTGAGTGTGGCTCCTGTGTATATGTGTGTGCACACATGCTGGGGGGTGTGCACATGTCTGTGCATCAGCTCCTGTGTGTGCACACATGCCTGTGTGTGCACCAGCTCTTGTGTGTGTACATGCTGTGTGTACAAGCTCCTGTATGTGTGTGTATATGTGTGTGGACTAGCTCCTGTGTATGCATGCATGTGCATGTGTCTGTGTGTACAGTCTCCTGTGTATGCATGTGTGCATGTCTGTGTACACCAGTTCCTGTGTGTGCACATGTACACCAGGCCCTGTTTGCACGTGTGTGCACCTGTGCCTCTGTGTAAAAGCTCGTGTGTGCACACATGCATATGCACCACCTCATGTGTGTACACATGCTTGTGTGCACCAGTTCCTGTGTATATACACGTCTGTGTGCACCAGCTCCTCTGTGTGTGCACCAGCTCCTCTGTGTGCACCAGCTATGTGTATGAGTGTATGTGCACACATGCCCTTGCACACGTCTGTGTGGTACGTGGGTGTATACACATCTGTGTGTGCAGCAGTGGCTCCCTGATGGGACCCCTGAAGCCACCACTTGCCCTTGGTTTCCCAGCTCAATGGTGGTTCAGTATGCTCCTCTCGAAGCGACCTGCCTGGCTCAGACAAGGACACGGAGGTGAGTAGGGCCTGCTTGCCTTCACCATTGTCCTGACATGCTGAGCCAGAGGCCACGGGGACAGGTGTCTATGCCAACACCAGCCTGGGCAGGGAGGCCACTGCTTCCAGGAAGCCCTCCTGGGCCCCCAGCAGGGGAGGGTCACCACTGGAGGAGGTGAGATGACTCACCCCGCCGCTCACCCACCCCGCCCCCAGGACGGCAGCGCCTGGAAGCGGGACCCCTTCCAGGAGAGCGGCCTGCACCTAAGCCCCACAGCAGCTGAGGCCAAGGAAAAGGCGCGGGCCACACGAGTCAATAAGAGGGCACCACAGATGGACTGGAACCGGAAGCGGGAGATCTTCAGCAACTTCTGAGTCCGCTCCTCCCCCACCCACCTTGGGGCTCCCTGGCCAGCCCTGCACACCCTGAGCCTCAGTGGCCTGGAGGGGCACCCCAACTCTGGAAGCCATGGTGGTCCTGCCCGGCCACCCAGAAACCAGCCAGTGAGTCCCTGTCCTGCCCTCTGGAATGCTGGGACTGTGTTGACTGTGGTGTAGCAAGATGAGGAGAGAGACCCAGAGACAGGGATCAAGGAGTGGGGAGAGAGAGAGACTGCAGACAGGACTGGTGGGAGCCGGTGCTGCGAGGCCAGGCCTTGGCCGCTCGGCCCCGGCCGCAGATTTAAAGGAATTTGTTTTTGTTCGTCTTCCAAAAAACTACTCCGGCTCCGCACATGTTTCCACTTACTGCCCGAGCCCCCTCCCCGCCCCATCCGGGACTCTCTCTCCAAATACTCGCAATAAAACAAGCCTTTCTCTGCAAACCATTTCCTCCCCAGCCCCTCCTCGGCGGCAGGAGAGATCCAGGCACTTCCGGGAGCAGAGGGCGGTGGGCGCCCGGGCCATGTCCTCTGGGCCACTCCCGGGAGGTCGCTGGGGCTGTGGGAGGTGTCCTCTAGCTCCCTGTGAGGCCACCCCCCGTGCTGCTCCCTGCACTGGGGGTCTTTGGGGTGCCCCAGGATGGAGGCCCAGTGCCCCACAGAGGGCAGCCTCTGGACAGGCTCCTCGCCCTGGGCACAGTCCTGGGCCCGGCCCGGGAGCCTGGCCCAGGGAGGCCCTTGCGCCCCCACCTCGGCGCTCTGCCATTCCTGCTGTGCGCGACCCAACGCCCCCTGATCGGCCCCTGATTGGCCCCTGATTGGCCTCGCTGTCTGCCTTGTAAGCCATAGCGCATGCGCGCCTCGGAATAAAAAGGCCTCGCCTCGACCCTAGACCCATCTTTTCTTGAACGCTCAGTTGGGGACCGGTACGAGCAGCTACTCTGATCTAGGGGCCTTGGGGTGAGGCTGCAGCCAGGTGGTCCTTGTCCCTTTGCCACCTGGCCACACCAGGGCCCCCGCACCTCTCCCGTCGAGCCTCTTGGCCGCCAGGACCCCCAGGGGCTACCCATGCCCCACCACCTCCAGCAGACACAGCAGGCTGGGCCTTGTGCCTCCAATGCCCAGCTGCTGTCCCTATGCCACGAGGCCAGGTGGCTGTGTAAACAAGGGGTGGGGCTGCTGGCAGAGGCAGGCTGAGCACACAAGTTGATTGAACGCTGCAGGGCTTAAAGAATGGGGGCGGGGTGCCTGGGTCCCAGCCAGCCCGGCCAGGGGAGGTTTCCTGGCTTTCACAACTTCCCCTCCTTCCCCAGTGCTAGGCCTGTCCCAATCCCAACCTGGCCTCCCAGGCAACCCATTCCAGGCACGCAGGAGCATGGCACACGCGTGGTTCATGCAGACAGACAGCTCACACGCGGACATACATGGCTCACACAGATGCACACACTGCTCACAGATACATAATAGTGCACATGCACACAGCCCACAGAGATGCCCACAGCTCATGTGGACA